TGCGCGTGCTTCGTTCGCTGGTCCGAAGTAGATCTGTCGGCCTTCGTAAAGTACGGTCACTTTGTCGAAAACCTGTGGGGAATCAGCATTGCTATTTTTCCATGTAATCATGCTATAGCTTACCTCATACGCGGCTTGTGGAGCTTGGTAAATGGCGATGACACATGCTGCCCCAAAGACGTCGCACTGGGTTCGGAGTGTCTTGCAAAACTCCACGGCATTAGCAGAGTCAAGTCCACGAGTCGAGTTGTCCCATAGTTGAAGCGGGGCAAAACTGAGAGATGCTTCCGCGATCGTCACTCTCTTGCGCTCGCCGCCGCTGACTCCTCGTACGAAGTCGTTGCCAACGCGTGTGTTGGCCGTGTGCGAGATGCCGTACATGGCCATTATGACCTGTCAAGAGTCAGTAATCGTACCGGTTGAGTCCCAACTAGAGTACGTACATCTCGAAGATGCTCGGCATAGCGTCGACGACTGATGCCACCAGGAATGGTACGAGGTGCTCGAGCCAGAGCCGCGAAGTAAAGCGTGTCACCAACGCTCAGCTGGGGGAAATGCGCGTCAACCTCAGCGGTATAGATAGCTTCCCCACGGAACACGGTGTTCATGTCCTTTGCTGGTACTCCTTGGTAGTTGAGATACGAGTCAGGGCTGACTTGGAAGCCATGAGTCTCGCCTGCGATGGTCTTCAAAAGGGTAGAACACCCTGATCTACTAGTCATTAGTCCATGTTGCTGAATACAACAACAGTGAAACGTACCCAGGTGGTCCCAAGACACATAATTGCTCTCCAGGAAGGAGCAATCCGTCCAGGTCGCGCAAGATCTCGATCTTCTGCGTGCCTCTGCCAAACAGCGAAGGAAGCTTCAATATTGTGTTCCCTACTGTCGACTGGAAGTCGGTTGGTGAACCTTTGCCCCACACGTTCAGGCCTCTGAAAGCAACGCCCGCTACGCGAGGAATGGTTTCCTCGCTACTATAACGCAGGTTATAGAAGGAGCGCGCCCAATCCTTGGCACGGAATTGGTCACTTCTAGGATCAAGTCCTCCATGTGCATCTTCGGCGAAGGGTGAGCCAAAATGTTGCTGTTCAGACTGTGTTGTAAACTTGCGCACGAGCTCGTGGATGTCTCGATCACGCTGTGCTTCCTGTCGAACTTTGGTCTCGTCGTCAACTCCTGTGAGACTGGAGCTAGCGTCCGACTTCAGATCTACGCGGTCAACACGTGCTTCTTCGTTTGTCGCTTGCGCCTCTGTGAAGCCTAATGCGGCTGACATGCTGGTCAGAAAGGCAGGTCCAACTTCGGGGAAACTGCGACCAGGTGAATGCGTCAATCCAGGTATGCCTGGTTCCTAGTGGTCACGAACAACATTAGTCAATGTTCTCAACTGGGGTGTATGCACGAGGATACGTACGGTTGGGAGCCCGTGAACAGATCGATTAGCGCTCGCTAAGTGTGAGCAGGGGGAGATCTGAGATGGCGATGTTTGATAGAGCCCGTAGCCCTGGTAGATTTACCTTATATCATGCGATGCTTTTTTGCAATCCATGCCTTTACGACTGTGGATGATGTAAGTTTCTGCCTCGAAAGTCCCGGAAGTCCATGCCCAGGTGCCATGATTGCAGACAGTTGTCTTCGGCAATCTTGGCGCGAATGAATCGAAGTGAGCGTTCGCGTCCAGGGCTGCTGTTGGTTCCTGAAACGTGCAGGGTGCGGACATTCGGCAAAGCCCGAAAGTCCGTGGAAACCCTCGGGCTCCGTGCTGCACCAAGCATCCATCTCCACCCTCTACGAAGGATCGATCACATTATCTATTTCCCATGCGCGAAACCCCGGCAAGCCGCCTGCCGAAAATTCCGCTGTTGCGCGCGACTTTCTTTCCGGGACTTCGGCGTGCTTTTACCGAACGCTCTTAAGATGACGATGAAGCTTGCCGTAGGTACCTGCCCTAAACCTACGTCCGCGGAAACAGTCCATTTGCTAAGCTGCCATTGAAGTGTCTTCGTTGTAAACGAAAGAAGATCAAATGCGACAAAGCAGAGCCAATATGCCATCAATGTATTGCCGCCAAGGAAGAATGCCATTATGTAGAGCGCAGACAACGGCCGCGCCATGCCCACCAAAAGGCTGTCGTACAGCATCTCAGTCAGCGACTAGAACAACTGGAGAAACAAATTAGCGACGCTGGTGATGATCGGTCGTCATCCGTATCCGAAGTCGTGCCCAGACGCGATAGTATCCGAAAGAGCACTCCGGTGCCTTCACCCGAGGCCTCATTAACTGTGGCTGATGGCCAGGATTCATGGGTAATAACACCCACAAACGGAGGCGCTCGTGTTTGCTGCGTTTTGTCTTGATATCTCGAACTCCCCGAAGGTATCCATAGCATTTCACATGGTCAACGTCCTGTCAGAACATCCCATGTGGACTTACGATGTCTTATCTTCTACTGTGTTACGAAGCACATGAGGTACATATAGCGGCAAGGGGTTGGGGTCGGCGATACAGCTTCAAAAACGCATCTCTTCATATGAGGAGCCATCAGCACATGACTCAGCACACACGAGCGCCTTCGAAAATCTTCTCAACTATCATCACAGCTAATCATGATAGATCTACCGACTTGCGACGGACACAAGACGCAGCTTCCAACACAAGGCTACCCCAGTCTCGACACCAACACCAAGCATCGACAACGCAATGCTGTCTCTCAACGAAGCGCTCGAAGACCTTGGAAAGTTGAGGGTGCGCACTGAGACGCACAGCGCGGATCTGAACCTATCCTCCGCAGAAGCGCGGACGTGTATTGACGGCTTTATCTCCGTCATGAGCTCAATGCTTGCGCCAGATGCATTTTCTCGTTCCGTGATCGATACTGACCTCCTTTACGCGCTTCCCGATATCATCAAGTCTCCTTACGTCAACATCGATCCCGTGGTCCGCGTTATGTAGTAAGCAACCTATGCCTATTGAGGTTGTGTGCCACGTGCTGACTTTAGGTGGCTTCAAGCTACAATGCTCTGTTTTATGGACTGCAGCTGACTGACGGCCCGGGAGGAGATCTTACGACGAAGGCATACATGAAGATGCTCGAGAGCGTACCTGCTTGGCTCGCATCTCCAGGTGATACGAATATGGACGTACATATTGCAGCCCTCTCAGCATGGACGGCCATGACTACTCACGACTACCAACTGGCATGGAAGTTCCACTGCAAGTCATGCCAACACATTAAGTCGATCGGAATAGATCGGCTAGACACGGTTCCGGCAAAGTCCTTCGAAGAGGAAACCGAGAGAGATGTTGGTCGCTACACGTACTGGTACGTTGTCTCCATCGACACGTTCTTCCGTTTGTTCTATGGGAAGCCCACTGTTCTGCGATGGTCGCCAAACAAGGTCCGCCCGCCCCTACTCTTTCGTCCCGACAACATGCATCCTTCGGCGCTCCATGTTACCATCAGTGTCGTGTGGGTGCGATATACCCTGTTGACCGTAGAGGCGATCGGTTACATTGACGAAAACCCGCCACACGATCGCAACAGCTGTGTCCAAAAGGCTGACGAAGCTTGTTCGCAAATGGAAGACCTCATCAGCGAATGGAGATTGGAGGAGGTGATGAACGGCAAAGAGACTACAGATGATGTTCGCTGTCTTCTTGCAGATCACATCAGTAGGTGAAGTGCGGCAATGAGCTAAGATTGAGCTGACCTCAAATTCAGTGAACATATATGCGACTATCATTGGTATTCAGAGGCTGGTACAACAGCACCGAACCAGACCCGGACCTAAGGACATCACCCTCAGAGCCGCACGAAGAGTTTTGAGCATTATCCTTGACTTTTATGCGGATATTAACCTGAACGCCAAGTTTAAGAGTATCACGAATCAGTAAGCCGCCACTCTCTTTACTTCGCGCAAAGCATCCGCTGACTTGGCCCAGTTTCATAACGCTCTACCCTTTCTGCGTCGTGTTCACACTCTACGAACACATTGTGGCGTGTACCAATCCAGATGATTGTGAAAGCGATATACAATCTCTCGAGACGATCGGCGTCGCCATGGCGCAAAGCTGCGCAGAGCGTCAGGACTTGATACCGTTTGCCAAGACGATCAATGCACTGAACAGGGTCTCGCGGAGTCTACAAGATGAGAGACGCAGAGGCCCAGCCACCGTGGATTCCAGCGACAGCGTTGCTCAAGGGATGAACATGCCGCCGACAAGTTTCGATACGATTCAGAACTTGATGGCCAGCGAACTCCCAGACATTGACATGTCGGCCTTTTCATCGATGCCGGACTACACCGCGAATATGGATGGCGACTTCCAATCTCTCGGCTTCTTGAGGGGGCTTGAGAATGACTTTGTCACGCGGAATTGGCAGACTGACTGGTGGGATCTTGGTGGTGGTGGAGATGGCGACATAAGCCAGATGCCAGCGACAGATCCTTCAGCCTTTCCTTACACTCCACATACATGAGAAGGGCAAATTGTCAACGAAGCTCGGCCTTGAAGGGGCGATGAATCTTTCCGGTGACATTTGGGTGTATATATTACTATTCGCATGTCTGTATCATAGCTGTTTTAGGGTAGAGATGTATGGTTTGCTTACTGAATAGAGAATCTGGAATTGTGTCTACCAGTTAACCCTCACCAAGAATTTCCGGGTATATGAAAGTGCAGCGCAGAATACTGGATATATCAGCTCAGGCGTACCCCACCCCATGTTAGCACGTCGGCTATCCTATACTAGCTCTCGTTGCCCGCTCCACTGAAGCTATTCACCAGACAACATACGGTACATCCGCCGGTCAGGTTATATGAGAACACATTGACCGTATACGAATTCATTCCTTGAACAGCTGAACATATTTACAAAATGTCACAATTATGCCCCCAAACTACACGCTCCACCGACTTCCTCACACAAAGTCTCCCAAAACATTTGTACCAGTCTCCTTCCTCAATACATCGCGTGCAGTCCACTTCCCAGTAACAATGCAGCCTCCATTTCCCTCGCCCACAGCAACCTGGCAGAACGAGTCTCACACCGCCATCGACCCATCAGATCCCAATCTCAGCCAAATAGGAAAAACAGTCATTATAACCGGAGCCGGTAGCGGCATCGGTCGCGCAACCGCTCTTGCTTTTGCGAAAGCAGGTGCAGCATGCCTGATCCTAATCGGACGTACTGAGTCGACTCTTCATGAAACCGAGAGGCTATTCGGTGACAGCAAGTCAGACTGCATGGTCTTCCCCGTTTCAGCAACCGACGAGACTGCGATGCAGAATGTTGCTAGACAGGTCAGCGCATGGGATGTCCTTGAACTTGCCGCAGTGCACATCTCTTCGCCGTCCTCGATTGTCAAAAGTACGCTGCAAGACTGGTGGGCAGACTATGAAACGAATGTGAAGGCGATAGTCATCGCTTCACAGGCTTTCATTCCGAATGCGAAGTCTGATCCAGCGGCTTTGCCGCCAGCGGATATACCTGGGTTGTCGGGCTACCTTACTTCGAAGGTCGCGTAAACGAAGATCGTCGAGTTTCTCACTGTTGAGAACCCAAATCTTTTTGCGTGTGCTGTACATCCTGGCATGGTCGATACAAAAGTCTTCCGAGGCTCTGGTGTGGATCCGTTGCAGTTGCCCATGGATTCTGATAAGTGTGTATCAGAAAGGGCGAGGACAAATGCTAACTATTCCGCAGCGGAGCACAGCGCAAACTTCCTAGTTTGACTGTCGCAATCAAAGCTGAGTGTGCAGCGATGATTACGTGATATTTGATATCCTCCCCGACTTCATCATTTCAACACAAGAGTGTGGGTTGATAGATGGTACCTAGGGGGACTGGGGCCCCAAAAGAGTAGAAGCATGTGGTTGAGACATGCGGGTTCAAGAAAACGGAATCGAGCCACAAGGACTAACGATACCGTGCACCCAGCTAAGAGGGAATCTACCGCACAAGGCCAGTAAACGCGCCCAAAGTGGATGTGAGCTCAGACGTGCTACAGCGTAGAGCACAGTCCGAGGCGCTACAGTTAAGAGCGACGGGATGTTTACAAGTAAACGCGACGGCGAGCAAAGCGCCGACTGCCACATCATCAGGATATGTGACAGAGACGAATTGTTCGCGGTGAGGAGCAAAGGAGCGACGGCCAAAAAGTTGTATATATCGAGCAGACGCTAAGAGACGCACGGACCAGGCAGCAAACAACCAGCGATGAGGTGGGAAGTCCAAACCTCACCGAGTCACCAGTACTAATTCGTCTCCTGCTGTCACGTCGTACCTTCTCGACGCATGTATAGATAATTGTATTTATGAGCTATAACGTAGAGAAACTCGATGCTGGCCGATGAGGGAAAGTCCACGTTGGTGCCGTTACGTGCCCGATATCACATCGACAGTCCTCACATCCGATCAAAACCCAAAGCCAACCTCCGAGATCAACCACAAGCTACTTCCCGCTTCACCTCCCGCGCAAACCAACCACCACACCCATCCAACCATCTCCCCATCCCCTAGGCCTCCAAATCACCTGACCCTCACAAGCGAGCCGCCCCGCCAAGTCCCTCCAGTGCCACACCAAGCCCCCAACTTCCAACGGCGCAACCGCCATAACCAACAAGTGCCAACTTCCGATCTCGATCTGAACACGCGTTTCGCACCAACAACCCCAACAAAACAACGACTTTTCAGTGTTGACTCAGCCCCAACGGCCGTCGACGCTCAAGCCACAGCTGTTGCGAGTCAAACTATGAGTCCAGTTATATGACATCATCGACCGCATCGACCGGAAGGAGCGATCCGCGGAAGTTGCTTCCTCCGATTCCGAAGCATGGAAGGTACACACGTGGACCAGCTAACGACTAGCCTTAGCAGGGAAGGAGCGAACATCACAGGGTACGCAACCAAGTTTGCGAAAGTCTAACGAGTCCAAAGTTTGAAGACACGAGGCAAGGGAAATTTGACAAGTTGATCTTGAGCGTCATGAGCGATAGCATTTCGTGATTAGTTATCTGCGTGTTCGTATACGAGATCTACGGATTCGCGTCGTTCTGTATGTGACTACAATCTCCGTCTCGTAATAGAGAACATCCTCATTTCAATGTGGATAGTCATGCATAGTGGAAAACACCCAAGTCCTTAACGCCGTTATGCGGTATCCAACCATTTCTCCCGGAGCATTAATACAACTCTTCGGTGTTGGATCCCCCGCAATTCATAATTCATCCTCTACATGTATCACCGTGCCTCCGCGGGAACCTCTGCCGCTGGCTTTGGCATGGGCTTGAGCTCTGAGCCTGCCCCGCTCTCAGCCCGCTTCCGGCCTGTGAGGGAGAAGTGATGGCTCGAGCTAGGTCGCTCTTCCGCCTTGTCGGTGTTGTTGTTATCACCGAAGCGCGAGAAGATGCTGCGCTTCTTTGGCTGCGGCTTCGGCTCGTCGTTCAGGCCCACCTCCTCGAACCCCTCTTCGGGTACTTGCTCGTGGCTTTCGCTGTGGCGGGGTTGTTGCATCGAGGAGCGTGGTGTGGCGCGCGAACGGCGGACGTCGAGCGAACGTCTGGTATCTACGGAGCGGCGCGCATCGAGTGACTGGCGGGGATACGTTTCATGGACGTTGTCTTGGATTGGAGAGCGCGCGGAAATGTCCTGGACTGATTAGCGGGGTCTTGCCACTGGTCGCATAACATACAAATGACCGCCTGTAGGAGTCAAAGCTCTCGCGCGAGATGCTAAACGGCTCATTCTCGGCGAGCAGACTGCGGTGATTTGAAGATGTGGTCGAGATGTTAGACTTGGAGTGCCAGAAGGTGGGCTTCTCTTGCTGAGGGCTCGGCTGTCGCAACGTCAATCAATGTCTCACGCGATGACATACGCGCGTGTCGCTGTCCCTCCTGCATCCACAATCACATGGGCTTGACATTGCTTACCGGTAGATACACGCCGCTGTCGTTTATTTCTATCATATGGTAAGCGCCCACTCAGCCGATGCAGTGATGCCGCCCCAGGAACATGCTCATGTTTGAGCCCCAGGCGCATTCGCGGGAGATCTCACCACTCAATTTGTACTCGACAGGGTCCTTGACCTGCACGGGTGCGGCGCCCGAAACAGCTGTGCTCTTGAAACCGTTCTCCGGCGCGCTCCGCTGGGCCTCATCGACGGCCTCAGGCACACCCGCGCGACGAAAGGGATTGCGGATAGGCATAGTGGTAGGGCGCTAGGGATCAAACAAGGCGGTACGAGAACAGAGTGGGGAGTTTCAGTAGGCTGGTGTAGATTGAAAAGGCGAGGAGGAATGGTAGGTCGCGGCTGAGATCATGACTTCTGCGCGGCGCCAATCGGGCAGGAACCAATTGCCCTAATGTGGCATCGCCTCGGCACCTACCAAGTCCCGATTCAATCTTGAAATGTCCTCGTGTGAGAGGTTGGCGCAAAACCAAAGACGTCATGTCGCAGACGCGCAGACTTGATTGACTGTTGTCTGTAGAGATTTCATCAGCTGTCGAACCAGGCACGCTCTGGGGTGCAGATCAGACTGATCCCTGCATTAACACGACGGAAGTCAGGTACCAGAGAACCCCTCAGCTCACCACAGCCGCGCCTCAAAACAGCTTGTTTGCACCTCACACAGGCTGACCTGCGTTATCGCGACTAGAGAACTGCTCACCGGCGGTATCCTTACCTTTGCGCTGGCACGAACATTCGCTACGGCACCTTGCGCTAGGTGGGTGTGATGCGGTGGTGAGGCAACTCATCTAAATCAGGCTGCGACGGGAGGTTGCGCCTCATATCCGAAACATTGGAAGATCTTCGCGGTCAAAGACGATGGTTTCTGTGCCTCAGCCATCAGCCTCTGCACGATCCGAAGTTCGCACGGCCGACTCCACTGCTGTCGGCCCCTCTTTACTCGATCTGTGACCGGGGTAATATGTGCGGAACATGAGGCTGTGCCCATGTAAGCAAGGTCGGCAACGTTCGAGATCCCAGCGAAGTTACATGAGATATTTCGAGTGTAGACACTGCAGGCGATCCATGTGATGGAATGGTAGCTGCGAACTCTCGAGACGGACCTACCGCGGTAAGTAGGGTCTGGTGCTTGAGTCTCCCCGACAACACTTTGGAATGTTTTGAGATGCCGTTTGCCCTGGCTACGGATACTACGGATACTTGCTAACGGTAGCCGCATGGGAAGAAGGAATTCGCCGTACATGAACCACTTGGAGATGCCGTATCCGCGACGCTGGGTCGGAAGATCAGCGTACGGTAGTCAGGTCAACTCAGCCTTGGTGAAGTGTAGGAATGTAGTCGCATTAATGCCTTTTGTTCAGCAACATCGCGCTAGATACAGAGAGTGTTAGTAGCTACCTGTTGGTCAGTGGACAGCTCAACGCAAGGCTGCGTCGAGGCTGGACTGCTGCAAAGCAAACACGCATGCGGCAAACATCCCCACCGACGCTTGTCGAAGTGCATGGAGCAGATGCCAATCATGCCTTGCAGCTTCCCCTCACTTTGATCACCACTGCGGCCTAGTTGCAGCACAAAGCTCGTTCACTTGTGCGGTTGTGGTGAGGAGCTCCTAATCTTATACGAGCGCGATTATAATGCCCAGAAACTGGAAAGCGCCGGCGCATTATTTGAAGTTTTCGGATCATGAGATGGCATGGGTACGAAGGATTCGTGGATACGAGGACTAGGGTTGAGTCAATAATTTCGCGGCTTACTTTGCAGCACTAAATCGCCTTGTGCATCGTTTGCCTTGGCTGAGGCACCAAGACGGGAATCACCATCATCGTCTCGTCATGATCCAATTTTCTAGAACGAGAAGTGGCTTCCGATGACTTGTGGCTGAACGCCGGGAGAAAAAAATGGAACCGACCGAGGGGCCAACATTGAGTACGGCCAACACGTTCACCATGGCAAGGGCTTTCGTTGGGTAATTGTGTAGAGATGATGCTTTTTGAAGGTACTGAAAAGAACAGTTAGTATGACTAACGATCGTGTGTGATCAGTGCGCACTGGCGAGTGGTAGTAGATTCCGCGCTCGCCTAGACAATCGATACAGTCCCGGCATGGTGGCGAGCGACGAGATGACCCCAAAGCGTGCGCTGGAGAAAAGAATTTGGAACCGGCCGGGAGCGGTGTGCTGGGAGTGACCGTTACACCAGAGTAGATGCGGTGCGCCGTGCCCTCAAAGAAAGCAAGGACGTGCCCCGCTCCCATCCAGGTCTGTGAGATACCATCATGGTGGAGAAGCGAAAACCCATCTGGTGGATCGATGCGTGAGATGAACCTTGAAGAGTGCCAAGCAGCGACGAATAGCGGAAGGCCTTGGGCAAGAAAGTGGGAAGACCGTCTCACCCAACGACCGCGGCATGCCAAAGCCGCCATCCGCCCGCCCCAAAATTGGACGCCCACTTAGCAATGCGTGTAGTGGCTGAAGACGCTTCTGTTGTGTGAAAGCGATCGTGCGGTGCAGTTGTGACGACAGCCTCGTGTTTCAGACGCAGGGAATGGCAAGACGGTCGC